CCCCAAAACCCCAAAACCCCAAAACCCCAAAACCCCAAAACCCCTTTGTTACCAAAAGTTGAAACTTAAGAGTATATAAATATTTTAAATATTGGAAATATAAAATGTTCTCACCACTAACATTATCCACTTTTAACTCTTCCAAGAACCAGAACTATAACTTCAAGTCTGCAGGAGCTTCGCCTAAGAAAAATATATCTGGGGGTACAAGGTAAGTCTCTTCTAACCCAAAGCCCAAAAGATCACCTCCTCTACAGCTAGAATCTTCTTCTACTCGGCTATTCCCCACATATCTCCCCTTAATTCTCTCCCCAATTACTCCTCTACAACAAGTTTCTCCCCATTAATCTCATCCAAAAGGCCTCTAGAAGGTACTTTATCTCAGGTTTTCTGCCCTAAACATTCTTCATACAGGAAAATGTACTATTTTAGGCTTATTTTTCTACTTGAAATTGAACCAGTTTAGGTACGTTAAGGACTACAGGACGAAGCTAGCAAGGTACGTTAAGAAGAGTCACAGTAAGGATTTGGTAGTAGTTTAGATAACGAGAGATTCAACAACAAAGCCAATTTGTCCTTCTGGAAGACGAACAGGATGTAACTAATCTAATAACAAAAATATAGTGAAACCCAGAATCCCCGTCCAAGGAAGTACGAATGCAAGTCTAGCATATAGGCTCGTCCTTAGTAAAGACAGAGTGCTTTTCAAATAAGAATTTGGTTAAAAATATGCAGGCATCGGCCCCTGCTAGTCCCAAATTTAGATTCCAGGATGCTACACATAAGTACAAACCACCCCTTCCTCAGGTTGGGAATTCAAAGCAGCGACAGATGTTCAAAGGAATACAGAGTAAGGTCTCAGAGATTTTGAAAAAGAATTCCCCTAAGAAAGACAAAAGAAGCATGAAACAATCCATGCAAGTGTAATTTTAGCAAGCGAGGTTATAGGTTTACAAGTCCTAATAGTCCAACCCAGTCTGAAGAGACCGATTTTGATACAGTCTTTAACAGCTTCCAGAGAATTACTTCTTTGATGGATACCATATCGAAGAATGAGAAAAAATTCGTCATTTCAAATCTGAAGAACCCTAGGGTTTCATTACAGAAGGAATTGGATAAGTTTCAAAAAGAGGAATCGAAGCTTAGCATGTCCATGGTTGGCTTTCGAAGTAAGAATTTTGCTTCTATTTTTCTGGTTTGAATGTTTAACTTATAATTGTAGAAAAAATTAAAACTATAAAACAGCATAGAATCAACAAGGACTTGCGCAAGAAACCACTAAAGTTATTATAATCCAGTCTAACTCCATTTATAATATGACTAAGTACCCTTTCAACCTTAAGAGATCCCAAAGGGGTTTTGGGGTTTTGGGGTTTTGGGG